CATAAAATTTACAATTACTCTTATATTTTGAAACATAATTACTCATATTTCTTCAACAGTATTAGAATAAATTCCCTATAATAGCTTCAAGGTAAGTTTTGCAAATGAGTAAGCCAAAATTTGTAGTTTTTAAAAAATTTTTATGTATTCCTTTTTTATTTAAAAATTTTTTTTTACACATTAAAACAACATGAAGTTTCAATAACATACAAAAGTTTTCAGAATTTTAAACTTGTTTTTAAATAAAAATTTAGAAATTAAAAATGTATACATTAACTACATTTTATTAGGGAAGTAATAGTAAATTAAAAAGTAGAAAACTTTTAAAATAAAAATAGTTTTTTAAATAAAATTTCTAAAAATTCAACTTTAAATAAAAAAAAAAAAAAAATACATCGCTACCGAGCAGTCTATATATATTATCGTGGAAGCAAGTATAATTTTCTAAGTTTGGTGACGTTTCTGTTTCAGATAGTGCTATAATTATAAGTCATTAAGTATTATATTTTTACGTGACATAAAAAAAAAAAACAAATTAAAATATAAAAAAACTTTTTTTATAAGTATTCATAATTAATTCTTAGAGTTTTGATAAATTTTGTGAAAAATTTAATATAAATGAAACTTTAGATAATTATTTGATAAATAAATATTGTTAGGAAAAATTAAGGAAATAATCACTATAGTTTCGATTATTTTTAAATGTCTGCAAGAAGGCGTCGTATAGGATTAGAATCAGAGCAGAGTTTTATCAGTGTTCCTACCGACGTCTATGGCAGAAATGAAACTGAAATAAATTATTCTGATTCACCTTTTTTCGGAACTTTTTCAGACAATAGTTTCCCTTTTGAAACCGATTTAATTATGGCTGCAAGGGATAGGACTAAAGAGTTTTCAAGTACAATCCAGAATTTACAGTCTAGACAAATCGCTAAAGCATTAAATATAAGAGAATCAAAAAAATCTGTGTATGTACAAAGTCATGCACAGTTTATGACGATTGCTAGAGCTATTGGTAAAAATGTAGCTAACACATATTCCAAACTTGAAAAATTAACATTATGTAAGTATATTTTATTGCACAATATTTACTTCTTCATTACCAATTTTCTATAATTTGTTATAAAATGTCTTTTAATGTGTTGTAAACAATCCACTTAAGAGTGTCTTTTTGCATTCATAAACAATTATTAACATTTACACACAATATCTTAAATTAGCAAAACATTAAAAAAATCTACTTAATAACTTGCTGAGTTTCCCTAATTAGAGCTAAAAGAAATTAAAATTTTTGAAAAATTTGTTTCAGTGGCAAAACAAAAATCACTGTTTGAAGACAGAACTGTAGAAATACAAGAACTCACTTTTATTATTAAAGAAGATTTAAATAGTTTAAATCAACAAATTGCAGAATTGCAAGAAATTGCAAGAAACCAAAAAAAAAATAAACATGTTGAAAAAGAGCATTTAATTTCTCATTCCTCAAGTGTTCTTCTGGCATTACAATCTAAATTAGCTACTATGTCAACGGAATTCAAACAAGTTTTAGAAGTCAGAACTGAGGTATTTAATAATTTTATTCGAGTATTAAAAATCTTTATTATTTATTTATTTTCTTAATAATTAGTATATTTTTCATTTCAGAACTTGAAACATCAAAAAAGTAGAAGAGATCATTTTTCTGACAGTAATATGCCCACATCTATATCACAATCTTCTGGGAGAAATGAAAATCAAGGGTCTCTTCTTTTACAAGAAGAACAACTCAACATAAATTTAAATCAAGATAATAATGGAAATTTACCAATTTTTCAAGCTCAAACACAACTAAATTATGACCAGACGGTAAGTTATATTTTATCTAATTTTTTATTCATTTAAATGATACTTATTAAGACAATTTGTTTAGAATTCGTATTTGAAAAATCGTGCTGAGACAATGCAAAATATTGAATCAACAATTGTAGAATTAGGGGGAATTTACCAACAGTTGGCTCATATGGTTCAAGAGCAGGAAGAAATGGTGGATAGAATAGATAGTAATTTAGAATCAGCAACATTAAATGTTGAAGCTGCTCATAATGAAATTTTAAAATATTTTCAATCAGTTACATCTAATAGGTGGCTTATGATTAAGGTTTTCGGAGTTCTAATTTTATGTTTTATTTTCTTTGTTATTTTTATGGTTTAATGAATCTAATCTAGTATATTTTAATATAAGTTAATCTTGATAATGTTTTTCTTATGGATTCTTATTGTTTTTCAATAATTAATTATTTTTATCTTTATTAAAAGGAATTCCAGACAAAAGCCATTTTTCTTTAATAAAAAAAGCTAGAATAATTGGAGATGATTCTCATTAGTGTAATTAATAAATAATAAACTGTCAAATATTAAAAGGGAATCAACATAAATATGTAGAATCTGCTCACAATGAAACTTGTTCAGCTTGATTATTCTTAAAATTTTCAGGGTAAAAACTCATGTAAAATTTTATTTATAACAAATTAGAGAGTAGGGTAGGTTTTTAATTAATTGTAAAAACGATATACATGTCAATTGTAAGGGTAAATAAAGTCAATTGTACATCAAGGTAAATAAGAAACTCACAAATTATATTTTTATTTCATTGAGAGTAATCAAAATACAAAATTTGACAAATTTGAGAAATAGGAATATCAGATGCAGGTGGAATACTGTAAATATTAATTTCTCCTTTCCCACTATGATCCAACATGTTGCATTTATTTTCTGAACATAAATAAGTTGTAAATGAATCTGAGACTGTATTCAAATTATGTAAAGAAGGTGTCAATAAAAGATTGATACTGGGATAAATAAAAAATGCAAAAATTGCTAAACCCATCATAAAATAAACTGGAAGAGCCAGGGCCCAATATTTCTAATAAAAAAATAAATAAAAAAATTATAATTTTAATTATATTTAAAGCCTTTGAAATATAAAATTTTTTTAAATTTAAATTTTTACCTGTGGATAGTATGTGATACCAAAAGAATGGAGCACATTATCTGGTATTGTTGCCCAAATTAAATATAAACTAAAACTAAATACACATAGGACATATAAGGCAAAGCCATAAACTCCTCGACTAGGAGTTGGAGCAGGAGTGTGTTCACTCATTAAAATTAAGTCTGTGAATATAAAAAAGTAGAAGGTGGTCCAAAACTGTGTATTGTATCACACAATAAGCTTAAATTATCCAAAAAATTATTTATACTACTTTTAAGTTGCTGAACATTAGGTGCACTAAAACATCTAAAAAAAAATTATTAAATAACTATTTGAATATACTTTTGGTATTAGTTGATACCAAATATTAGAGCGGACTTTTAACTTTAAAAAATATCATTATACTTACACTTTTAAAACATTTTCCTCAAACAAAAATGACTTTGAAACTAAACTTCTGGGGGGCTCACTATCTACACGTAGAACGTCAAATGCTATTTCAGCCTCTCTTTTACTGGAAAAAGGTATGTCTACATTTCTAGTGATTAGTTAAGTTTTATGTATTTTAATATTTTATTTAAAAAAAATTATAGGAACAATTTCCAAGAAATTTACGAAGAGAATTAATAAAAAAGGATACAATTTTAAATTAATATCGGCCATAGTAACTTATACATAAAGTTTTCATTTTCTAACCATAGAGACATTAAACAATTTGAATTGTGGTGCCAAATATTAAATATTCTACAGTTAAAACGAATATTTTATAATTTTAAAGTGGATAATAAATATGATTTTTATAAATAAATTCAGGAAAAGCTTTCAAAGTTCATAAATTTTTACATAAATTTCAAAAAAAATTTTATTATTATTTGTTTTATTATTATTATTATTATTATTAGGTATAGCGTTCATGTGATCGTTGTTTTCCTTATAAATAACAGTTTTTTTTTTGTTTTTATTATTCAGTGTATTAAATCGCGCTTAAAAATACGTATTATTTTATTTTCATTTAAAAATAGTAATTTTTTTTACTCGAGCCCTTCAGGATTTTTGGAGACTTTCAAGGAGTAAAACACAAGTAAGATTATATTTTGATTATTTATAATTAACCAGGTATTTATCATATTTAATTGTAAACTAAAATAAACAAATTATTAATTTAATTTTTGATTGCGCCAAAATTATTACCAACGATTCTTCAATTTGTATATAAAATAATTTTTTTTTGAATTCTAATACGGTAAAGTGTAAATGAAATCGTTTTGAAATTAATCATAAGGTATTTGTAAAAGTATTTCATTATTATAAATTCATAACTAAGTTAACAGAACCGCTTTAAAAGTTACAAAAACTAAAAATTAGACTTTTTTTGAAATCACCACCAAGGAAAAAATAGTATATTCATATTTCTTACATGTAGTCATTTTGTGAGTAACCCAAACTCATTACAAACCTTTGCAACAGTCTTCTGGTAATGGTTAAAAATCCCAAATTTGCAATACTTTCAAAGAAATTTCTGGAAACTAAAGGTAATTTGAGAGTTGCACTTAAAAAGTTATTTCTTTCAAAATTCGGTAAAAAAAAAAAAGAAATTTGTATAATAGTTTTATATTTTTTAAAAATTATTAAATGTATTTATAAGAATTATTTACAAAATTTTTATAATATTAAATTTTATATTTATTTATTTATTTTTTTTCTTGATAGTTCTTCAAGCAATTAAGTATACAAATTTAAAAATTTTTTATAATTATTTTACAGAAAATTTCTCAACACACATTGAAACAAATGCAATTTTTCTTTAAGTTTTAATCAAAATTTTTTTAAAGAAAATTTTGTAAAATAATGATAAACAACTTATTGTGAGATAATTTACTGCATTTCTTCTATAAAATCAATGTAAAGTCTTTTTACAAAAACTTGGCTCTCTGTTACTAACTTTCTTTCTTACTGTAATTTAAAAAAAAACAAATATGTTAATTAATATTTTTATTGGTAACCTTTTTTGAATTTAAATATTTAAATAATTGCCATATTTTTCATTTCACGTTGACTTTTTACCTCTTAATCAATTCTACATTAAATAAACCGTCTTGGTAGTACAATACAAGTTGTACATTCACTTGAAAATTACTTTTAGTGAATTCAAATTCGTTAGGAAATATAAATGCAGATGTGCTAAATGTAGATTTTTTGCTATTAGTGGTGATTTCTTCAACATCTTCTATAAATTTTATCTTAAACCAATAAATTAATGCATGTATTTCAAGGGAACTGCAAAAGCAAGGTATTGAAATTTGAATTTTCCTTTTCTCATTGTTTATTTCAAGGAGTTCAACACTTTGACTCAGCGGAATTTTTTTTATATTTAAATCCAAATCAATGAAATGATGAACCTAAAATATAAAAATATGTTGTTTTTGACTATGATATTATAAATAATGTAACAATTTTTCAAAATTTTCCATTTTACAACCTGATATGCGTTTATGAATTCTGCTATATGATAATCGCAAGTAACCCTGTTGTTTATTACGCGGGAAGTGTTTATTAGCCAATCAGAGTGAACAAGTTCACCGATTCCTTTTACTTCTTTAGGCATAAAAATTCCTTGAGGCTTTAATAGGAACCTAAAATTATTAAAAAAAGAAATTATTTAAACAAAGTTTATATGCCACATAACTAACTAATTTTTATAATAAATAGACGCGTATTAATAGTATATACATATATTTTAAGAATTGCTAAAGAGAAAAATAAAATTTCAATTGAATATGAGAGACAAATTAAATTTCATAAATTTTTTTTTTTTTGCATACTTAATATTTTCTAATTGTGATACACAATTTTCTTTTATTGTCCCTGTTGTTTCAATGTAATTTAATAGAATTATATCAAATTTTTCCTTTTGAACAAAATATTTTTCAACATTAACTTCAATATCAACAATGACATTTTCTTCTAATCCAAAACTTCGCGCCAAAAAATAAACAAACTGTTGATCCTTTTCTGAAGACACAAAACATAATAATTTATCGTTATATTGTTTTTTTCTAGCTTGAATAAAACTCAATCCGAATATTGGAAACGGAAACCAATCCATTATATTAACCGAACTTTTAAAAGTAGTTATAAGTTTATTATTAATTTCCTTAAATGTTTTCACTAAATCCGCGTTATTGAGAGTTTTAATGGCGGCCTTTGAAAGTTCCACTAAATTTGTCCAATTCCCGGGATACTCCATATTTAAAATCCCATTATCAAATGATATTTGTAGGGGAATCGTTTCATTTTTTTTTACGTATATGAAGTTGGGTAAGGCATAAATGGCCTGATCCCATGCGATATTATCTAAATTATACGGTCCTGTATTTAAAGATGTTTCTTCATCAAGTAATAAATCAAACCAAACAGCAAAACAATCTATTCTGCCAGATTTTTCGCAAACAAATTCAATCCCTTTGTCATGTTGTCCGTTTAAAATTTCTTTTATCAAAAAGGGATTATTGAAATCTATTGTCGCAATTTTTTTTATTTCCGTCATGCATTTGAATTTTATTAATCTTAAGTTTTGAGAATTGTATTTTTGGTTTTTATAAAATCCATAATTTTTAATAGCGTTTTCAAAGGGTTCAAAAAGTTTAGGGTAAAGTTGATTTGAGAGAAATTTTGACTTGATTCCAACTGCATAAATATTAGCTGCACTTGGTATTACAGCTCCACATTTAAAGTTTTTTTCATTGGTAAAACAATACTTTGACGGCAATAATAAATTATTCCAGGCATGCGACAGAGTAGCCAAAATTTTTTCCCCAAGTAAACCTGAATCAAATATTTCAGTAACAATTAAAGACACTTTTTTCGGAATATCAGTCGGTAGTAATATTTCAGAAGAATTTTTATTTAGAATTTTCACATTTGAGGCTTCATTTTTCATCAAAACTTTTTCTGCTATTTCTACCATAATTGTTGATGAATCACATGCATAAATCTCATCGGCTTTTCCTTCTTTGCAAAATAAGCTAAAAAATATGAATATTTTCACATTATTAAGTTTATTTATTTTGCATTACTTATTCAATATAAAAGTAAATAGATATTAAAGGCAAGTTTAATATTATTACCTCAGTAATCCTGTACCTGTTCCTATATCTAATACTGTTGTATGACCAAGTTGAATTTTTTTTTTAATAGCCTTTTGAAAAGCTTTATTTCTGTTTTTATCATTTAACATTCTAAAATGCCATCTTTCTACTGCTAAATTTAAAACACTTTCAAGATTGTACTTAGCATGAATATATTGTGGCTTTAGAAAAAGACATTGTTGAAAGTAATAAGCTGCTTCCTTCAGTAAATTACTTCTAAGAATAAATTTAATAAAAAGTCTTAAACAGTTTTCTTTATATTTTTGTAATTTAAAGAATTAATGCATCCACATCTTCAAAACTACTTTCCATACTCAAATCGCTAAAATTAGATTTAACTGAATATTTTAATGAATTGAACCATTCAGTTACAAACAATTCAATTTCAGAAGTAACTAGATCTTTGGGGATACTAAAAGAGAATAAAAGAAATTTCCTTGTTTCACCCTTAAATGAAAATTGACTTGAAACTGAAAATACAAGTAAAGAAGCTTGAAAAGGCTTGTAATCGAATTCAAAAAAATAAACAAGAGGATAATTTAATAATAATCCATATAAGCAAGGTGGGCAACAAAATTGTTTAGAGTCTAAAATCCAAAAATCACATTTATGGCTTTGTTTAAATTTATCCGCCAAAACATTTATGATGGATTTTATTTGATCTATTTTCTCAGATTCAATTATTTGGCACTTATCATTATTAACAATTTGTATTATGTATCTATTAAAAAATAATGTTTTTAGACATTCTTTAGTGTTAACTATTAAAATATCATCATTTATAACAACTATCAACAAAGAGTCTACATTGTCTAAGAATAATTTTAGGTTTTCAATAAAATTAAAAATTTGCCTAAAATCTACTACAGGGCCAAAATCCCAAAGAAAAGACGGCTTAGGACCATATAAAACAGATGAAACATAAAAGATTATTTTTGAATAGTGTTTTTTCCATACTGAGCCAGGAAAATGTTTTTGAAGAAGTGAGCACCACATTTTTTATTATTTCCTAAAAATAATTGAGTATAAAATTATTATGTGAAAAGTTATGTTGCAGCTTTATAATTGATTATCTTGATATATTTTATTGAAAAAAAAAAAAAAAAAAAAACTATATGCACATTTATTTGTATTTGTATATATTTACCGCAATAAATGGGCACCAAGATTGTTTAAAATGATTTCATTTTCAGGGAATGTTTCAATTGCACGTTCATAACAACGAAACAAGTCATTTAATTTATTTTTTTGTTCTAGTATCAGACCCCAGTTACCTAAAAATATAAAGTCGAATTATTAAAAAAATTAAAGAGAAAAAATAAATTATTTGCATAAAATACAATAATATATTTATTCATAAAATTAGAGTAATTATATTTTATATAAATTAATAAAGTATTATTACAAAGGGATAAAATAAATTCTTCCTTTAAATTTACTTTCCAATTGGGTTCGAGCATTAATGCAACCAAATAATGAGAAAAAGCTCTTCCAAAGTTTTTTTTTTTTAAATATTGTCGAGCAAGTTTTTTCGATTTTTGAGCCACAAAAAGACTTGAGTTTTTATTAATATCACCAGTTAAAGGCATGTTATTAAAACATCATATCGACACAAAATAAGTTAAAAAAATATAAAAGTAGAAAGAAAAAACAAAAGTTTATAATTTAATTATATAAAATAACGCTCGAATAATCAATTTTTTAAAAAATTACAAGTTTTTTTTTTTTTTTTTTAAAGTTAATAATTTAAAAATAGCATGCTAACAGTTCAAATTTAAATTAAAATTCAAACTTTATAAAAACAACAACTATGACATTTTTAGTTTCGCAGGTTGGTACGCTTTTTGGTTGGTACGCCTTTTGGTTGGTTGTTTTTTATATTAGTAACAGTATAAGTTAGAATAAGTTTCACTTCAACTAAAATTATGTAAGTTATTTATAAAATTAAACATTTTATTTCGATAATCACTTATATTTTTATATTAATTAAAAACTAAATAGTTTTTAAAATGGTTTTTAAATATCAATATTCAATATTACAAATTGTAATATTCATTTTTGTAACCATACATTTGCATATCCTGTAAGAAATTTCAACTTATATTTGTTTTTTATTATTCTAAAGTACATACAATTCTTAGGGATGTGGTTGGTTTGTAAATTAAGGTTAATTTAAAATTAAAATTTTTTATCAAAAAATGAATATATTACAATTTTTAATAACCTCAGTATTGGCAGATATTACATAAAAATATACTGAATTAATGTATTTTATATATAATATTCATTTATAATACTACAATAGTACTATTTATAGTATAATGATAATATTTTTATCATTGCTTTGTAAATCCCTACATAACTCAGTCGGGTTTAAATTCGTTTAAATATTCTATACATTAATTTTAATATTTGTTTTAATTTATATATTTCATATGATGCTTACTTTTTACCTTTTTCATTAATTACATAATTTAAAAAAATATAATATTACTAATTAAAAGTACTGAAGATATATTTTCTAAATTAGACTAATATGAGTTTTTAGTTTTACAACAGTACACAGTTTCTTACAGTTTTTTAGTATTAGAACTAAATTTTAAAATTGCTTATATTATTTCTTGTAATATTTCAAAGAATGCAATGGTATTTCAAATTTATATTTTATCAAACATTTTATATTCACATTTTAATTCAGAAACCTCAAGACTTTTTACAACTAACAAATGTTAAAACAAAATATGAACCGTTGTCAAATTATTATTTATTTATTATTATTTTTTTTTAAGTTTAAAATTTGAGATTCACTAAATGTATTATATCAGTTACTTAAATTTTTTTTTCATTTTAAAAGTAATGAAACAGCATAATTTATATGAAATAAATAAAAATAAATAAAAAAGAGGCAGATTCTTTAGGGTTTCATTTAGATTTTTAACTTTGTAAAACTAAAAGCCAAGAATCATGATAATAATAACAAAAGTATTATCGAAACATTTAAAGATTGGAGTAAATTATATTTAATAAAAATTAGATATGAAGAAATAATCATATCAGTGTTTTCTTAAAAACCTAAAATAACATTTTAAAAATAATGAATAATTCTATATTGACTAGTTACTCTAATACAAAAATATGGTATATAATAAAAAATTTTAATTCTTATACTTTATACATTAAAACTATCGAAACTCCTAAAGGTAATATATTTTTTAAAAAAAAATGCAAACGTTTTTTTTTAACGGCATTATTAATTATTAAAATTTTTTTTTTTCAATTGATTAAATAAGTTATATATGATTTAATTACTTAATGGTGTCTATATAAATTAAACTTTTAATTTATTCTTCAATCATACCTATTATTTTTAGTTTTATAGAGTAAAATCGTTTTATTACAAAATCAAAGAGTAAATGAATTTAAAAAAAAAAAAAAAAAAACTTTTTGAGGCATCCTTGAAGTTGGCATTACTTTACCATTTGTTCTTTCATTAAATATTATTTTATTGTAACAATTTTTTAAAAGTTGTTAAAACTTTTTTGGTGTAATTTTTTTTTTTTTTTTTTCGTTAAAATTTTTATATAGAAAATCGTTGCTAATTAAGATGTGGTTTTTTTTTTTTTTAAATAAATACCCGCGATTAATGTTGAAAGAAAATTTTTAATTTATTTTAAGTTAAAAAAAATTTTTTAGAAATCTCAAATGTGAGGAACTTGATTCGTAAAGGAAAAAAAAAAATTTTTTTCTGATAAAAATAAAAAAGAATTTAATTATTTTAAATTATTTTTGTTACTTAAATAAAGTAGTTATAAATTATATTTTGTATAGTACGAATTATTTTTAATATTTAATTAAAGAAATTTAACTTTATTTAAATTTATTAAAGGATCTTATTAGTTTTTTATTGTTTTCATTTTTTAAAAAAAAAGTATAAATGTTAATTAACGATAATGATTATTAAAAAATTATGTTAATAAGTTTTCTTTTATTAAAAAAATAAAAAAGTGAAATAATATATCATATATTATATTATGAGACAATCCGAGGTAGTTAACGGTAAAAAAAATTTACCATCAAATACGATAGAACCAAAATTAAATTCAATATTAAAATCACTATTAAACGAACAACAAGAAGGTTACGCTAATATATCTGAAACAAATAATTCTAAAAATATAATGCCCGAGAAAAATGAAGTATTAAAAAATTGTTGTCCGAGTTATTTTGGGAAAAAAGAAATTGCTCGAAAACGTTGGAAATTGTTGGCAAGAGTTTTAATAAAAACTCAAAAGACGTGTACAGAAACATTTAAATTAAAATGTCTCCCCGTTAGAAGATTAAATACTTTTGACTTAATCAAACCAATAATAACAGGTGAAAAATTTACTTTTATAAATTCAAATTTAATATTAAATTTAAAAAAAAAAAAAAAAACTTTACAAGTTTGGTTTATTGTAAGTTTTTGACATGAGAAAAAATTTTTTTATTTTTCTCAATTTGAAACTTAATAAAAAAAAAAAAATGTGTGTATTTTTATTATTTGTAGAAGAAGGGAAAGATGGATATTGGTTTGAATATTCAACTAAAATATTAAATATCGTATATCGAGCTCAAATTCATCACCTTAATCAAAAATTAACGGCCACAGAATTAATAGGGTTTAATAATACCGGAAATATAAGGGTTTGGCCATCGGAAGAGGTTTTAACATATTATCTTCTGACAAACATAAACATATTTAAGGGAAAACATGTTTTAGAATTAGGAGGTGGCATGACTTGTTTGGCGGGAATTTTTTTAGCCATTTACGGAAATGCAAACCAAATTGATTTAACTGATGGAAATACAACTTCCGTTGAAAACGTTATGAAAATAATTGAAAAAAATAATTTCGATTCAAACAAAGTCAAGGCTTATCAATTAGATTGGAAAAATCATAAAGATTTGAATAAAAGTTACGATATCGTTATTTCTTCGGATTGTTTATTTTTTAATGAAACACGAGAGGATTTAGTTGAAACCTTTTGGAATTCTCTTAAGGAAGACGGTTTAGGATTAATAATGGCGCCAAAACGCGGAAACACTTTGAATTTATTTTTAAATATTGCTAATAAAAAAGGTTTTAAAACTATTTTGCAAACTTATTACAATGATATTGTTTGGAATAAACATTTACAATTAAAAAATTTAAATTCGGAATATAATGAAGATTTAAATTATCCCCTTTTGATCATGTTGTATAAAATTAATAAATAAATTTTTTTTTTCGCGCTTCTTAATTTATTTCGATATCAAAATATATAAATATTATTAAGGGTAAATGCTTTAATACATAAATAAATTTTTTTTTTAGTCAATGAATGATGTGTACTACTATATACCAAAAATTTTAATAAATTTATGTAATTTTAAAAAATGTATAAGACTTTACAAAACTTTATAAATGTTTATTATTATTATATGATTTTTTGAAATAAAATCTTTATTAAGTCATTGTTTTAATTGTTATATTCAATTTTTTAATTTAAAATTGGTGGTTATGTGTGGTGATAATAATTAAAGGAAAGTAAATAAATATTTAAAAATTAAAATATATTTTTAGAAATTTTATTTATTTAATTAAAATTAAAAAAAATAATCAGAATACAACCAACTTTAATTACAAATAATTATTATTATTTTTTATATTTTTTAGGTTTCAATAAGCATAACTAGAAATACATAATTGTCTTTGTTTTTTTTTTTTTTTTTTTTCCAGGACAAATTATTGGGTATCGCAGGGAAGAAAATTTTGCGAATTTTGCAAATGTTCAATTGCTGACAACAAGCCTGTAATTTCAATTTTTTTTTACATTTAAAAAAAAAAAAAATCACTTTAATTATATATAATTTTAATTATTGTTTTTTTTTTTTTTAGAGTATACAATTTCATGAAAATGGTCGAAAGCACAAAGAAAATGTTTCCAAGAAACTTACAGAAATGCAAAAAAAAGCATCGAAAGAAGCAAGAAATGCTGTCAATTTTGAAAATGAAATGAAAAAAATTGAAGCGGTAAGTTATTATTATTATTATTAATTTTTTTATCATACATTGAAATATTTTCTTTTTAATAATATATTTCTTTATATTTACAGGCAGCTTTAAAAGCATATGCGAACGATGTAAAATTGAATGCCGATTATACATCTCATTTAATTAAATCGGGAGAAAAAATTTTACCGACTCCTGAAATAGATACAAAACCAAATAATAATAAGAATTTATTAGAATTTAAAAAGAGAAAAGAAGGAATTTCGGAAGATTCAAATAGAAACGATTATGCGGGAGGTACTCTATACTATTTTTTTTTTTTTTTTTTTTAAATCTTAGATCTTTTATTGTTTATCTATATTATCATTAATATTACTTCTAATACAAGATATTTTTTTTTTTTATAGAATCAACTTCAAGAACGACATCTACAGGTTTAGAAAAATCAATGTCGAATTTTTCATCCAAGAAAAAATCAAAAATTTTATGGAAAAAACAAAAAAAACCAAACAAAACAAATGTTTTCTCTGATGGTGAAAAACAAACGCAACCTAATATTGATCCTCGAGAGGAAACAAATTTTGTATCTTTTCCCCAGGGACATCCTTACGGTAAATGGAAAACCGTTGAAACAATAGAAAAAAAACCAGTTGACTTGCAATTGCCCGTTCAAGAATTTATTTCAATTTCGGTACCAAAACTTTCTCAGGACATTGAAAAAAAATTTAAAGAAAAAGTTATTGAGCCTGATACAAATTCATGCAAAAAAGAAAAAGCAACTTTTATAAAAAGAAAAATTTCAGCAGATGTTAAAAATAATATAAGAAAAAAAATAAAAATTGATGACGATAATTAATATAAAGGGATAAATTGATGTAAATTTAAGATCCACACATTAGGCAATCATCTTTGTTTTGCAGAGAACAAGATATTGATTCCATATTAAATTTATCTTTTTCTGTCGAAACTTCTTTAACATTGGCGTTATTAACTTTAGTTTTATCAACGGTGAATTGAATTGGTTGAGCTGCAGGTTTAGTACGTAGATAATACATTCCAGTTTTTAAACCCTTAAAAAGAATAAATATTTTATTGAAACAAAAGTTTGATATTTATAAATAATAATAATAATAATAATTTAATCTGTACTTTACCAATTTCCAGGCATAAAAATGCATCGATGTTAATTTTCCGTAATTAGGTTGTGCAATATGAATATTAAGAGATTGACTTTGATCTATAAATGCTCCACGATCTGCTGCCATTTTTAATATTACTTTTTGTGATATTTCCCAAACGGTTTTATATAATGCTTTTAATTCTTTGGGTATTGAGTCAATATTCTAAAATATAGTTAAAAAAAATATTTAAGATTTAAAATTGATTTTTCATCACGCTCATTTCAATAAATAATAATATAAATTTCTTAATTATATAAAACGTTATTTATAAACTTAAATTATATAAGTACTCATATTCAAAAGTACTATAACAAAAGTAATTTGAATAAAAATACAAACTTGAATCGAACCGCCATTTGCAATAATTGTATTTTTCATTTCATCGTTCCATAATCCAATTTCGGTCAAATCTTTAAGCAAATGTTGATTGACAACCTAAATAATCAAAAATCTTTTGTTAATTTAAGTAATTTCATTGATTTTCTTAAATTAAAAAAAAAAAGGAAAAAACTGAAAACTTTTTTCACATTTAATTTTATTCGAAACTAAAAACTAATTTTTGAATTGATTAGTGAAGTAATTAATAATTAAATTGTGATTTACCTGAAATTCTCCAGACAACACTCTTCTAGTATATATATTTGTGGTGTATGGTTCAAAACTTTCATTATTTCCTAAAATTTGAGCTGTGGAAGCTGTTGGCATGGGTGCTATTAGAAGAGAATTTCTAATTCCCCATTTTTTAATTTTATTTTTCAATGCATCCCAATCCCATAAATTAGTGGGAGTTACACCCCACATATCGTATTGAAGAATCTAAATGTAAATAATACTTTTAAGTTTTCTATAAAATTTAAGTTATTTTCTTATTAAGTATAAATTATTTCTTTTTAAAAATCGATTTTTATTCCTATTTTTATGCAGCATGTAGATGTGTAATTGCAAAAATTTATGTTAATATTTAAATTAGAACTAAAAAAATATAAAATGAAACTTTACCCCCTTACTCGCGGGTGACCCTTCATAAGTTTCGTAAGGTCCGTGAATGGCGGCTAATTCAGAACTGGCTTCTAATGCTCCATAATATATTGTTTCAAAAATTTGAATATTTAACTTTTGTGCTTCCGGACTATCAAAAGGTAAACGCATCAATATGAAGGCATCTGCTAAACCTTGAATGCCGATCCCTATGGGTCTGTGGCGAAGATTTGAAAGTTTAGCTTCTGGTACAGGGTAATAAGTTATGTCAATAACTTTATTTAAATTTTTTGTTATAATTTTAGTAACGTCCTTAAGTTTTTCAAAATTATAAGTTTTGTCTGGTTTTACAAACATATTCACAGCTATAGATGCTAAATTACAAACGGCAATCTGTAAAAAAAAAAAAAATTATTTAAAAGGTATAATAGCATAGCAATAGGTTTTAAACCCTAAAACTTTTTCTTAAAGTCAAACTACATTAAACCCTTGATTATAATATTTTCTTTATAATAAAAATTTCATAATATGTAATAAATTTTTAAAAAAATAATATACTAATTTTACCTCTTCGGGTGACGAGTATTCAACTATTTCCGTACATAAATTACTGCATTTGATGGTCCCTAAATTTTGCTGATTAGATTTTCTGTTACATGCATCTTTGTACAACATATAAGGAGTCCCTGTTTCTACTTGTGATTCAATTATTGCGTACCATAAACTCTGAGCTTTAACTTTTTTAACATAAAGACCTTTTTCTTCGTAACTGATAAAAAAAAAAAAATTTGTTCAAATTACATATAAAAAACTTGTCAATTTTACATATATTCTAATTTAAATTAATAATTATTTCATTAATTTAGTGACGGCAAACGATAACTAAAAAAATTACTTAAATTACATTGAGTTTATACCTGAGGTAAAGTTTATTAAATTCTTCACCCCAACAATCTGATAACCCTGGGCAAGTTTTGGGACACATAAGGCACCACTCTTGATTTTGTTCCACTCTTTCCATAAATAAATCTGGAATCCACAAAGCATAAAACAAATCACGTGCTCTGGTTTCCTCTTTACCGGTGTTCTTTTTTAGATCTAAAAATTCAAAAATATCCGCATGCCAAGGTTCTAAATAAATAGCAAAAGCTCCAGGTCTCTAAAAAAGAAATATAAAGAAATAAAAAAATTCTTTTATTTTAACTTAACAATCCAAAAAATTTTAACCTAAATTAGTTTTTTTTTCAAAATTTATTATTAAAAAAAAGCATTTAAAAAACTATAGAATTAAGCTAAAAAGTAATTTAATGCAATACCTTATTCCCTCCTTGATCAACATATCTAGCCGTGTTGTTAAAAACTCTTAGCATAGGTACTATTCCATTTGATATTCCATTTGTTCCAGCTATATAGGTACCTTTAGATCTGATACAATGAATATTGACACCAATACCCCCAGCTGATTTTGATATTAATGCACATTGTTTTAAGGTTTCGTAAATACCATCAATACTATCTTCTTTCATTGTGAGCAAAAAACAACTAAAAGGAAATATTTAATAAAAAAACTATTTCACAAAAAAAAAAAATATTCTACTAAAAAACCTTGACAATTGAGGCTTTCTTGTGGCAGCACTAAAAAGAGTAGGTGAAGCATGAGTAAAATATTTTTCTGACAGCAAATTGTAAGTTTCAATTGCACTTGAAATGTCATCACCGTGTAAACCAACAGCTACTCTCATTAACATATGCTGAGGTCTTTCAACAACTTTTCCATTTATTTTTAGCAGGTATGACCTTTCAAGAGTCTAAAAAAAAAAAAGACTGCAAAGGTTAATGATTTTACAAAAAAATAAGATTATTGAGAAGAACAATTTTAAAATCTAAATTTAAAAATATTTGCATTTTTTAAGCGAAACCTTACTATTAAAATTTTTTAATTAAAGAATAGTAATGATACTAATAATACAAATACAAACATGATTAATAATTACAATAAATTCTAAATTCAAAATTTATGAGATAACAAAATTTAGGGTTTGGAACCACTAATAATGATTCAATAAATAAAATCAAATTTGATTTTTAAAAAATTAAAAAATTAATCAACAAATGTGTATAGTTTTTAAAATTAGTAAACTTGTACTTCATTTAATAACTTTAAAAAAAAATTGTCTCTTTGGTTTATACGTTTTCTTAAAAAATTTATTTGCTGATTTGTTTCTACAACTAATAAATTGCAATTATTTATGTCTTACCTTAAAACCAAAATAATTATAATTATAATCTCTCTCGTATATTATTGCAGCATTTAGTTCGTCTGCATGTTTTATAATAATATCATAATGATAGTCTGACAACATGGGTGTGGGTTGTTGGTTAAAACTATTTTTCATGTTATAAAGGTCAGTCATTACATCAGAAAATGATACTTTTGTTTCTTTGTGAAGGTTAGATACAGCAATCCTAGCTGCTAAAATTGCATAGTCAGGATGTTGTGTAGTCATTGAAGCTGATACTTCAGCTGCTAGGCTATCCAATTCAGCTGTGGTAACCCCACTATACAGCCCATTGATAACTTTGACTGTTATAGCAATCTGTAAGAACAAAGTGAATAAAAAAAAAACAAAAAACTAAAGGGATTATAATATTTAACTTTGATATGAATAATTACAGGGTCCACATAATCTAAATTTAATCCGTAACATAATTTTTGTATTCTAGACGTTATTTTATCAAAATGAACCTCTTCGTTTCTTCCACCTAAAAGAAAAAATATACTAATTTAAGTTACTCAAAAGTTAATACAATTGATTAGTAACTATATACAGTATGAGTATTTTTTAATAAAGTTAGAAACGAAATATATGATAAGATATTTTTAAAACTAAAACCAGTATAACGAGGTAAAATATTTTAATTACAAAAAACTCAAACCTCTTTTTATAACAAACATCTTATTCATTTTCAATAAAAGTCCAATTAAAATTTCACTAAAAGTATGCTAGAAAAGCTAAATGATTAAATTCCCGCCAGAAATGTTTAGCAGACTTTAGTCTAAATTTTTAAAAGGCTGTGAGTAAGACTGAAATATGGTGATGTGTTATTTGGTATCAGCTTAATAAAAATGCAGGCTTTTTATAGTTTTATATTTTTTTATGGAAATTTAATTTTATTTTGTAATTGTTCGGGTCCTGAAGAAATATTGTGCGCCAACGAAGCATGTACAGGTAAAACTTTGTAAACTTTAAATAACTTTTTAGGCGTTGTGTATAAATCATACAAAATTAAGGCGAAGGTTAAATAACTTTTTTTTTTTCTTTTAGGCGCTTAAAAAATGTTATCTTATGAATTAATTTACTTTGTCGCAAATGTTAATATTTAAATTTAGTTTAAATATGTATAATTTTATAAGTATTTTGTGTATTTTACTTTTATTTTGATATTACAGAACCCATTTCAAAAGCTCGTGGAATTGTGTCTTATAATGCTGACAGCTTCGAAAGATTAAGTTTTAAAAGTGGTCAAGAAATAACTATTGTTAGCAAATCAAAGGCAGAAAAGGATTTCTGGGGAGCCATTGTAAGGATTTTTAATCTAAACAATAGTAATTAAGTTATTGAATTTATTTTATATCAATATGATTTTGTGATTTTAGATAGAAGGCAAAAATGGATTTGTGCCTTCTCAATTAATTAAAGAAATAAAAGTATTTCATCCCACAGAAAGATTAATGGTTGTGCACACCACAGCATCAAAAAGTCATAATGCATTTACTGATGTCAGTGATACAAATAATGTCTCCTCAAGCAATAATAATCTTGCAAGTGATTTTGAAAATCAAATTCAAATAGATAAAAATATAAATTTAGATTTAAAAATTGATGTAAGCAGTCAAACCACTGGTTTGAATCAAAATGATATTCAATCATATAATGTAGAAAAAGAAACAGTAAATAATTTATATACTGGGTCAGAGCCCTCAGGAAGTTTGTCTCCTACAGTATCATATAATGTTATTGAGGGTACAACTGTTTATGTTGATGAGAAAAATGAAATAATACCATCGATGCCTGCAGATACACATATTGATCAAAATTTAAATTCAGTGGTTTTTGCTTCTAATAATGAAAATGAAAACAATAAGCATCATGAAAAAATATCAAGCATTCCAATATTAAATTTTGAAAATTCTCAAATGAATAATGAGAAAAATAAAATTTCTACTGATAAAATTGACAACTCCAATACTTATCATAAATCAATTTTACATGAAGATGTAAAAAATCAGAATAATGATGATGGTGGTGACGATCATGATATTGAAATTTATGATGATGATGATGATGATGAAGAAGAAGAAGAAGAAGAAATTGAGGGTGAAGATGATGGGGAAGATAATGATGATGATGATAATAATAATGTTAAAAGCTTTGATGAACACAAAAATATTGTTAGTGACAGTAACAGTGAATTTATTAATAATGAAAATAATAATCTAAGTAGCACTATAGAAGTCATTGAAAATAATAATATTAATAATAATAGTAATAATAATAATAATAATAATAATAATGGTAATGATAATTTTAAATATACTAACCAAGAAATATATAAAAATAGTTCAGAAAATGATAACGAAGAAAAAAATAATATTGATGAGCATGTAATTAAATCCAATTTAAGTAATGATTTTAGTAATGACATTAAAAAGGTAAATGATTTAGAAGAACAGCCTAAAAATTTACATTTAAATTCAGCATATTCTCAAAATTCAGAGGTACAAGGTGAATCTAAAATTGAAAGTTTATTAGAAAACAACAATAACAATAATAATAATAATGATAAAATAAATGAAAAAGAAGAAAAAATTGAACAACTCCATCTTCCAAGCATTCAAACAGAACCAATATTTGTTTCTGAAAAATCTTCCATAGAAATGAATAACTTAAATCAAGAGAATAATTTAAAATTGGAGATTGATGAAATCAGCAAAAACAACTATTTACCACAGGACACCTCAAATTTGGAAGACACAGAAAAATTACTCAATAATAAAGATGTTGAAAAGTTTAACCTTGAGTCAGAAGACACATTAACAACACCATCGATGACTTACTCTGATCTAGCTTCTCATGAAAAAACACCAAATGAAAAAGAAAATATTGTACCTTCTACTAGTGCTGTTTACCCTAATGAAATTTCAGAAAATTTTTTTGCTCTACATTCAGGAGGTGTTCCAAGTAATGCACCCCAATATGATGAAAACATAAATCAAAAAGACTTGGAAGAAAAAATTAACTCTTTAGGAAGTTCATTAACAGTTTCTCCTCCGTCCTATCAAGAAGAATCTACTTTTGTGCCAACAGAATCTGAAAAACCACATTCTGAATTCACTACTAAAAATTTAATAACTGAAAATTTGGATGAGTCTACTTCTTACCATTCATCAGAACATTTAACAGAAATGAGTCCTTCAGATGATTCTGTCTCTGAAGACATTAATAATAAGCATTGTAAAAGTTCTAAATGGTATGATTCTTACTATTTTTCCTGGGTAATAGATATGGCGTCAAATTGGATTGGTTTAAATAATGACAAAAGTGAAATTATTTGTGATGATGTTACCCATGATTCAATTTTAAAACCAGAACATTTTGAAAAATCTGTGAAAACTCCTGAATCAGTTATAAAAAATGATGGAATAGCAATGGATAATTTAGGTATTATAATGTTAATAAAAATATTTTTGTTGCAATTTTATTTATTAATTAATATTTTAATATATTTTAAATAATTTTTATATAAAAGGTAATTTACTGGAATCACAATTTCAAAAAGAATCAATTCAAGATGAAAATTCATATTCAGCTACAGAACCATCAAATTGGTTTCTTGATAATTTGCTAACAACTAGTAACACATTTATTTACCTAACAGTCACAGCAATTACAGTTCTTCTTTTCACTTTAGGCCACAATTTTATTGAGGTAAATTAATTATTATTATTAATAGTAACTTTTAAGGAAAGCAATTACTTTTATAATATTCATATAAAAAAAAATTTTTTTGTATTTTTACAATTTATCATAAATTATATTATTAAATTTTTTTTTCATTTTTTTTTTTTTTTTACAGAAAAAAACAAAATCAGGTCCTCTCATCGCCAAAATAAATAAACTTGAGCAGGAGTTGTTTGTAACATCAAAAGAATGTTTATTATTAAAGGAAGAAATAAAAAATGCCCATAATAAAATAAGTTTATATGAAAATTCACAAAATGATGATTTAATACTTTCATTACGGGCAGAATTAGAAGAATCAAAGGTAATTATAATTTTTATTAAAATTTATTTAAATTAGATCATAATTATTAAATTAATAAATTACTAAATAATGACTTTTTCTTATTATAATTAAATTTTTAGAAAATAAGATCGGATCTTGAATCATCAATAGAATTACTTCAACAAGAATTAGATTCCGCAACGGAAGCTGGTTTAGATTTAAATAAAATGCTCTCGGAAGTTCTTACCCAAAAAGGAGGATCTGAATCTTTATTGGAATCTGTTGAGAATTTACAAGCGCAGTTAAACAGTCAACAATTAGTCATTGATGAAATGACGAAAAAATTAGGAGCTAAAAATGACGAAGTATTTTGTTTTACAAATTTAATTTTTATAAAATTTAAAAGGGTAAATAAAAAAAAAAAAACTCATAAAATTATTTTGATTAATTTCAGAATGAAATTTTACAAGCTGCTTTAGATACTGCAAACGAAAAAGTTGAACATTTAGAAGAGCAGTTGAATGAAGTTAAATCTGATTTGAATCTACATTCAAAAGAAAAAGAGTCCATTACCGAAGATTTAAAAAGCCAAATTGATCAACTTCAAATTCGTATTAATCAGCTGAGTGAAAGTAGAGAAAAAGATGTTAAATCGGCTAAAACTAAAGTTGAAGAATTAGAAGTTAAACTTAAAAAAGTTTCAAATGCTTTATCACTTAAAAAAAATGAATGTGAAAATTTAAAAAATTCTTTTAAAAAGTTAAAATTAAACAACAACGCTTCTTGTGAATCATTATTTGACGTGTGTAAAATTAAAGCTGAACTGTCGAAAGAGGAAGAAAAAAACAAAAACTTATTGGTATTTTATGCATTTTCATTGTAATTTTTTGTATTACTTTTAATTTAAAATTTGTAGTCTAATTGGGTGATTTAATATTATAGGAAAGGTTAGAAAATCAAGAAAAAATTGAAGAAGATAGAGAAAAACGGATAAAAATTTTAGAAAGTGAGCTCCAAAAAATTAAAAGTGAATGTGAAAGTGCAAAATTAAAGGAAGAGGAAGCACAAAAAAAACTTGAAGTTCTTTCTATTTACTTTAAAGAAAAAGAAACCCAGTTACAAAAGTAAGTTGCACTGCTTAATTACAATTAAGTCTCAAATTTATTGTCCTTATAAATTATAGAAAAGATAATTTTGAAATATGTCTTTCAAATCATTACTAATGTATTGTCCCAAAATTGTAACCGAGTATTTATTATATTATTTAAACAAAATTTCTTTTTTTCAACGTATCTGAAGGATTTTATGTAATATTTCTATGCTTTCCCTTTCTATTTTTTAATTAAAAAAAAATAAGTCGTATCAGGTTTAATAGTTTTAAAGGAATTAAGGGCGTTACCGTTTTTTGTAATATCGTATTATCTATATTTTTAAATTATATTATTATATAATAAGCCAACATTATTGTTTATATTTAATTAAATTTACGTTTGCTGCTTTTTTTTATTATTATTAATTTCATATGTTTAATTTTGATTTTAGGGAATTAGGTTTTCAGGAAACTTTATGGGCTCAAAAAAAGGGAGACGAGGCTGCAGTTTATAACATGATTGCATCATTAAAAGAAGAAGTTGAGAGCTACAAGTAATAAATTATTTTGTTTTCTTTTAATTAACCCTGTATAATAATTTTAATTTAACGTAAAAAAAATTTTTTTTTTAGATCTCAAAATGAAACGCTTAAAAAAGAAATATTTGATCAGGAACGTGGGCTTAAAAATCAAATAGCATTGCTTGAGCAAAAAGCTCATGAAAATTGGGTAGCTGCCCGACAAGCAGAAAGAAAATTAGAAGAGAATAAACAAGAAGCTGCTCAATTAAGAAATAGGCTTACACTTATTGAAAAAAATGCTTCTAATGATTTAGACTTGAAATTAAACAATCGTATGAAATTTTTTTTTTTTTTTTTTTTATAATTATTATAAAAATTATTTTAAAGAGTAATTTTTAAAAATTAATATTTGCCTTTTTCAGGAACTGACGATACAAATGGATTAGAGCCAACTTCACCTGTACTCCATGATACTTCTTCACCTCTTTTATTTCCTCCTTTACCTTTAGACCCAAGTAGTTCTCCAATAATTCCTCCTGGATTTATGCCACCTCCAATGTTCATGCCCCCTCCTATGGGAAATTTTATACCACCTCCTCCATTTTTACCTGGTGATAGAAGGCCTCCGCCTTTAGGAAGAATGTCATCACCTCCTTTGGGGAACCAGTTTTCACCACCTCCACCAGTAGATTATTCTATAAAACAAATTTCTTCGCCATCATTATCACCCACATAGTAAAAATTTTATATCTAATGAGATTGATGCAGAAAGAGACAAATAGGCACAGAAATCTACCGTATCCACCGTTACACAGAGGATGGGAAGGTAGTCTGAAAGTCAAGGTTTCGTTCCTATATCTAATCAAAAGCAATCAAAGAAAGATCGCAAAGGTTAGTAAATTTTTTCTATATTTTGTTATCAATAAATATTTTTAAAAAAATAATAATAATAATCTTATTGAATGGAACATTTGTTGTAATTTTTTTTAGTAGGTTCAAACGATAGTTCGAGACACTCATCTTCAGAATCAATCGATCAGCCAAGAAGAAACAGCGTGAAAGTCTAGGCAAAATATTGTGTATTAAATAAATATAATTATTATAAAAAGATTACTTCAAACTTAATCTTTCAAATTAAGTGTCAATAATATAAAATTGTAATAAGTTGTTTATATATACACTAGTCAATTTTACCCATCATGATAATATTTATTTGTTAAGGTTAAAATATTTGAATAATAAATAAACAGAATAATTTCTTTGTGTTAAATATATATATATTGAATTTAATTTTGAAATAAATCAAATTATTTTTAATTAATTGTTTATGTTCTATCATATATTATTGAAAAATTTTTAAGTTTTGTTTGAAAATATTTGAACATAATTATTGCAGTTTTAATCCATTTTTAAGTCTTGAAATTTAAGAAATCAAAACAATATCGGATTTTTAAATTCTTTATTATTTTTGCATTAAGTTTTAATTTTTAAATGATTTTCTTTTGCATACAAAAAAAAAAAAATTATTTCCTAAAACATAGGTATATATATACATGATTGACTGTATTGGAATTAGTTTGAAAAAAAAAAAAGGAAATTGAAAAAACGTTTAAGGCATTCAATAAAAGAGGTAACAGGTATATAAATTACACATTTTATTATTGATTTCTTTATTTAAAGCAACTATTAATTGAAAAGAGTAAATTTTATTCAATTCATATCCGCTTATAAATATCTTTATAAATGATATTATTTCTAAAAAAAAACTTTGTAGTAATTTTAAAATTTTTGCTGCGAGTAGTTAATTGTAAGTGAAAGAAGTAGCTACTTTCAAGCAGGCTGTGAGTCCACATAATGGATTACTACGTTGAACATGGCGGTTTTTCTAGATGTAAATCCTAATATTTTTCCTTTACAAGACATTTCATCAGTTGTCAACGTTTTTAAACTGCAATTAACAGCCGTCAAGGAACCAAATTTAGCATTTCTTTCAATTGTAGCTGGTGCAGTTGAGAACTCTTTGACTTGTAACCGAAATTTCACAGTAGATAAGAATGCAAAACTCGACATAGGAAAGCTTCCAGCAGTGGAGTATCATATTGTAGAAGCATTGTATATGAAATTTTGTGCTGTGATTAAAGGAGCAGTTGATTTAACATTATATGGAAATGGAAAATACGCTTCTAGAGAGCTTGTTAAGAGAGTGTCTGATGTTATTTGGAATTCCTTGACTCGTAGTTATTACAAAGACCGGGCACACTTGCAAAGCTTGTTTAGTTATTTAACAGGTTAGGTACATTTTAATATAAATTATACAACCAGCCACTTGATGTAAAGTAAATTTTAAATAAATTTAGATCATTACAAACGATATCAATTTAATAAAACTGCTGAAAAGTTTCTCAAGATGTTACTTTTTTTTTTTTATTTACAATATTTAATGTTCAATTTTTATATTATAATTTTTGAAGCTTTAATTAACTTTAAATAGCTTGGATAGTCAATTGAATTAATATAGTGTACTTAATATTAACTTTAAAAAACAATGAAATGTCCAATAAACTTTCTTACTGTTACAATATAGTTATTTGGAAGAAAATTTACCTAAAATTTTTAAGTTTATTATGACTTTTGCAGGAAACAAATTGGATTGTTTCGGAGTAGCTTTTGCTGTAGTAGCTGGGTGTCAAGTATTAGGGTTTAATGATGTACATTTGGCATTGTCAGAAGATCATGCTTGGGTTGTGTTTGGTGAGAAAGGAGAGGAGACTGCAGAAGTAACATGGCATGGAAAGGGAAATGAAGATAAGCGAGGGCAGCCAATATCAGCTGGTATTGGATCAAGATCATGGTAAATCTAATGAAACACTTATTTATACAAAAATATTTTATTCTCACTAAAAAATTTTGAATACTATATATGTTTGCTTGTTTTTCATAGGCTCATTACATTAATTACTTAAAAAATAATTAGCTATATCTATAATACATGCAAAAATAATATTTTATAAAAGTTATGATCTCATTATGATTAACTTTTTATGTAATAATTATTTTAGGCTGTATGTTAATGGATGTCCAGTGATATGTACAAGGCCAATGGAAGTTGCAGCTCTTGTATCATCCATTAATCCGAGTCTCAATGCTACAAGTGATGCTGTTGAAGTAGCTCTTTTGCAACAAGAACTACTTTGGTTGCTTTATGATCTTAAACAACTTGCAAAATATCCAATGGCTTTAGGTACTTTTTTAATTTAAAAAAAATTACTTTAAATAATTTTTTTTGTATTCATTTTTAAAATACTGATAAAATATAACGTATAAATGAATGATTTCGAAAGGAATTGATTTGTAGCTAAGAAAATTTTTTTCGAGACACTTGTAAACAAAATTTTATAGACACAAATCTGAGTTGAAAATTTATTTTTTAAGTGATTTTTTTTTAATGCAAATGTTGACATAATGTTAACAGGTAATTTAGGCGATCTGGAGGAAATAAGTCCTACTCCCGACAGACAATCATGTTCGGTTTTATTTGAAGAAGCTATTTTATCCGCCAAGACATTTTATCAAAATCAACATGTTTATCCTTACACTTACCAAGCAGGGTTTTTTTACCGCCACAATATGTATAAAGAAGCTTTTGAAAGTTGGGCAAATGCTGCAGATGTCATAAGGCAATATAATTATTCAAGAGACGATGAGGAAATTTACAAAGAATTCATGGAAATCGCTAACGAACTTATTCCTCATACAATTAAAGTAGTCAGCTCCGGTCATAGTGCTAAATCAATATTAAAAGATTCAGAGTGTTTTGCACATTTGCTTAGATTTTACGATGGAATTTGCCAGTGGGAAGAGGGGAGTCAAACGCCAGTTTTGCACATTGGATGGGCAAGGCCACTGGTTCATACAATTTCAAAGTTCGACGCAGATGTTCGAGCTCAAGTTATTATTGAAGAATTAAATTCGGCAGATGAAAATTTCAACACAAAAGAAGTTGAAAAAAAACATGATGACATTGATGATATAAGTGATTCACAGTTAAATAATAATGTGAAAGCATTTAAAACGAAAGATTTAATTAAAAATTTAGAGTCTAAGGTGATTCGTAGTGATGAAGACGTCACGAGTTTAAACCCTAAAATTTTAGCTTTGACCGCAGCGTGTAGTGAAAAAATACTAAATCCTAAATATTTAATTCAAGGTGGAGGTGATCCTTTTGTTAAAGAAATTTTAAACGAATCTGACACTTTTTTTTCTCAAAATAGTGAAAAACAATTATCTGGTGTATTAGAAGAATTTGAAGCAAGTACTTCTTACAAGGAACTTAAGGGTGCCAACACGGAATCATCGGATTCTCAACCGAAGGTTGTATTACAAAGTCAGAAAATGATCGGACTAAAAGATTTACTACTTGCGGAAAAATTAAATACTCACGCAATATCATTACAACTGACGGCTCAATCACAAGTACAAATAACAAAAAAAACTCGAGGAATCGATCAAGAAAGTGTTGGAAGACAAAAAAGAACTAGAAGAGAATGAAAAACTTTTCGTTTTTAAGTGTTGATTGTGAAGAATGTTATTAAAGGGTGATTAATGTTATTAGGATTGCTGGCAACCCAGGTAAGAATTTGTTAAGTTAAACATTAAAAAGGTAAACTATTTAAATATTTTTTAAGTAATTTTACAATTATATATAAATATATATATATATTAAATTATTTTTCAGGTAAAAAAAATTTGATTTTAAAAATTTTGTTTTTAAATTGTCATAATTTACAAAAAAATTACTCAAATTTTTTGTTTTATTCATTTAAAAAATTTGAATAATAATTTTTTTTTTTTTTTTATTTGAAATAAAAAATGGAGTGAAAAAAGTTTCAATAGTATTATTATAATAGTAGTAAAATATTGTAAAATATTTTTACGTTTCTGCATCCGAACACTTGAATAACTATTTTTTAAATTAATAAAATTTTGTAAGACGTATGACCGTAAAAGTATTTATTTCTTGTATACTCTCGTATTTTAGTATTTTATTATTATTATTATTATTATTCAACTGTGATTTGCGTTTCTAACTTATTTTTGTATTAATATTATATTTATTGTTTATTATTCCATTAAAAACTATGTTTTAACAAAAACAAACGTTTGTTGTTGAATATTATAATTCGAAGGGAAACGAAAATATTACAGACTGATGAACCGATTACAATAAAATAATGTATAACCAATATTTGTTGCAAATGTATTTTTATACAATGTTAACGATTTATTTTTTGTTTTTGTTTCATAGATAGAGTTACTTATTAAAACGGAGACAATCCTTAAAATATTTTGAATGAATAAAATAACTGATGTGCATACCTATGTGAAAATTTAACAATTTATTTAAAGCATAAATTTATTAACTTTGTCTACTAAACTGACCACCGTTTTTACTTCATCTTTAAAGTTTATTAAATAAATGCTTTTTATTCATAAAATCTTGAAATAATTAATTGATTATAATATTCATTCCGTTAGTATTATATTGTTATGTATCACTCGCTCTCCGTATAAATTAAATTATTATTAATTTTTCTTATCAGATTGTAAAGTACAATAGTTTTCCTGTTGATAATATAAAAGGGCATTATTTAATAAAAATTAAATTTTATTTTTTCATATGATATTTTATATTAATAATTATATTTTCAATAGTAGTCGCATCTCATAATCCTCCAAACACTCTCTGTTAAAAAATTATTTTTAAATGTTTTTACTTATTTATATTTTATTAATAAAAAAAAAATTTATTTAATGATTTTTAACAAAAGACGATACGCATTTAAAATACTTATTATATACTTTTAAGAGACTGAATTTGAAACATTTATAAATAATTTTTTAAATTTATTTATTAAAATATTTAATTGATGTAAATTTAACAATGATAAGTATACACTCGCACACACACACACATTTTGTTAATGTTTGAATCAATTTTTTACATACGTTAATATCTAATTATTAATTATTATTATGACTAACTTACTACTATTACTGAATTTATTTATTTTTGTTATTTTAATCGTTTATGCTCGCATTTTTTTATTGTAACTGATTTTTTATTAATTTATTTTACTCTATTTAAGTGTGACAATTTGAAAACAATCATTTATTGATATTAATTTATTTTTTACAATGATGACGGATTTGGTTTTTTTTTGTATTTGTAAAATATGTATATAAAATTTAATATTAACGATAAATGTTATAAATTTATTAGTTGATGGATATTACAAGTGAAAACTTTTAAGAAGTTTAATTTTAAAAAATAATTTTTCTTTATTTTTTAAATAAAAAAAAATTCTGTTGGTGCATAATAGAATAATGTGAATAAAACTATTATTATTATTTAATAAGTTTTTTTTTATTATTATTTTTTTATTAGTTTTTTTTTTTTTTTTAAGTTTGTACATTTTATAATTATATAAAAACAAAAAAAAAATAAAATAATTAGTTTATATTGAAAAAATTAGATATTTTTAATATTTAAAAATGTAGCTTCTTAAATGTGAAAATAAAATTTGATACACCCTGACATTTGCTGATATGAAATAAATAAAATTTTATTGAATTTAATTTTTAAAAAAATGTACTTTAATCTGTGATGAGTAAAAGTGGTAAATTAAACATAAGTTATTAATTTACGTTTTGATTTTTAATTAAATAAAAATTGTTTTGTTTTTAGTTTTATTTATTTTATTTTATTTTTATGATAGCATTATATACCTGAAATTAATTTTTCTTTTTCTTTATGTATTACACCCTTTAATTATCATTATTTACATAATTTATTACCCTTTGAATAAAATAATATAAATTTCTTAGTGATTTTTTTTACAATAAGACAAAAATTATTTTATTCATTTTTACGGGCAAAAAGTTTTCAAAATATTAAAATAATAAACTGTATATAATCGTCCTAAAATTAGCCCATTTTTTTTTAATGGATAAAATAATCTTCTTTACATTTATTTATCTATTACCGTGTTCGGCCTTTTATTTATTTATTTATTTTTTCTTTTTTTTTATTCCAAATGAATAAAAAATTAAATAAGTGGAAAAAAAACATTTGAGCACAGCTTTAAATTTTACTAAATTAATTATACAGTTAATTAAGTCTTATGTGATTTATTATTATTATTATTATTTTACTGAGAACTCGTTAAACTGGCCATTAATAATTCCATTTTATTTAAAAAATTTTTCCCTTCCATTTTATCCCATCTCACTTCTTTGAAACCACCTCCTAAATTTTCCCATTTTCTTTCTTTGACTAGCTGACCGGGGAAAAAATCTTTTCTTGGAGATTGTGCTATCCATACTTGAATACCAAATTGTGGTTCACATCGAACAGCAATCATTCTTCATTAAAAAAAATTGTTATGAATTAAAAACTACATACATGAGCTAATTGTTCAAAATTCAGGTAGTCACATACGAGATTTAGAAATCTTTCATAAAAATTTAAAATAAATGGTTGGAAAAAATAATTATATTACCGGTCTCCAGTAGGCGATGTCAAAATAATACTACTAGCGTTTCCCAAAGGCTCTACGGATCCAAGTCCTAAATGCAAACTGTTTGCTAATATTTGCCACCCCATACATTTAGCCAAAGCTTGTGCTGCCGTGATTTGATGTTGATATATCTGAAATAAAATATGAAGAATAAAATGAAATAAAAATTAAAAGGATGAAAAAAATACACACAGTGATTGTATTGAAGTAAAATTTACCTGACAGTAAAGAAGATCTCGAAGTTCTTGAGGTTCGTACGACATACGCATCACTCTTCCATCTCGACAAACACACTTCAATGCTTTTTCTCCTATGTGAACGACTAATGAAGTCCGGCAAACTGTGTCATAGCCGTGAGTCATTATATTAATCTTAACACAAGATTGGGTAGGAGAATTTAACGCGTTCCAGTGAGATACGATAAGAGGATCTTTCATTTCTTTAGCGATTGTATCCAATACATATTCGGTGCGAAGCCTCATGAAAAAGTGTTGAGCTTGCTGAATAATTTGCTCTAATAATGTGTAACTAAAAATAATAATGCTGACTCAATTGAATGATTATATTAAAAAAAAAAATTATTATTATTATTATTCTTAATTAAAAAAGCTTGTCAATGTAATTTACGCTTTAAAAAAAAAAAAAAAAAGAAACTCAAGTTATTTTTTTAATTAAATAATTATGTAGACACCTTTTTGTCATTTCTAATAACTCGTGACGATCACTAGCTGTTGGACCAGCTAATATTCTTTTTTTACTAGGTCCAATGGGACCCGAACTGGGATGTGGAAAAGGATGATGAGTGTTATTATGATGAACTTCTCTCAAAAGTTGATGCAGAGAATGCTCTAGAACGTGATCATGCTCTGTTTTTTGTGGAGGCGGCACACTATTCTTTTTTTCATTACCTGTACTATGACATAATCCTATGATTAGTTGAATACCTGGTAGAACCTGAACAATTTAGTTATAAGAGTTTAATTAACTAATTATTTTTTATTATATTTAAAAATATTTTGCTAAACATACAGTTGCCATAATTTGATTGCCAACGACCATGTGTGGAATAAGACCCTGGAGCTGTACTGCTTCTTTAGCTAATTGATTAAATAGTTCCTTACAAAACAAAACATTTTGAGCAGCTTCTAGTTTTTGTTGCCAATGTTGCTCTGGGTTTGATGCAGATGGCCCAGTGCTTAAAAGATTAATATTAGCATTACACAAATCTTCATAATCTAAAAGATAAAGCATATTTATTTTCCAAGGTATATTAAGAGTGTGGATTTTAAATTTTAAATTGTACTTTAAACAATTGAATATATGAGTGGAATTACAAATTCATTTAGTATTTGATTGAATATATAAAAAACAAACATTAAATGGGTTGTTTTAATTTAATTACCCGAACAAATTACATAAAATTATTTTGGTTGAGTTTACCTTTTTGGCATAAAACTTCAATATATGCTACTCCTTGCAACTCACTAGGAACTGTAACCCTCAAAGCAGAAGAGGAGGGTTTCGGTAGTACAGATACACTGGGAGATGTTGGTGGACTACTAGATGCTTTGTCATCATCTTCTGCTTTTGTAACTTCAAACATCCCTGTTTGTGCATACTTGGATCCAGCTACAAGGTGAAACAAAATCAAAAGCAAGTTTAGTATGTTTAACTATAGATCTATTGTCTGAATTAAAAATATTTTAATCACCAACCAGTCCTATAACTTAAATCTCCTATGATGGCATTTGAAACTTTTTTTAGCCTCCAGTTTTGCCTCAGCCTTAATAGTTCAATGTGGAAATCAGGAGATCTATTCCTGTTGTGTTCACTTTGAGATGCTCTCATTCTTTCAGCTCCTGATATTAAAACAGAAGCTGCTCCTGTCAATGCTTTCTTCCTTGCATAAATTTGTGCCATTGCTTTGGTCTCAATCGGATCCTGAGGAACTGGATCTAACACCATGTATTTTTTTTCTTTTGCTATAACTAGTACATCTGACAATACACAAACTTCTGTCAAGGCATTTCTAAAAAAATTACATAAAATACAGTAAGTATTGTACTATAAACAATTTCCAACAACAATAAGTAGAATTAATTTATACACCTCAATTTATTTCTGACTGAATCCCATGGCCATAAGGAAGATTGATAAGCAACATGTTCTTTAGAATCAGATTCCTCTGATCCCTTTGCTTGATCAAAGCCATTTTCTCTCTTAATACCTCTGGGTTCATCTTTTCTGTTGTCCCTTTTATCATCAATGGGAATTTTATTGAAGTCGATTTTTTGAGCCAATTTCGCCAGATTTTCTGACATAGAAAGTGGTCTGTAAAATTAAAATATTGTAATAATGAAAATTAAAAAAACATTATGAATAATTATTTACATTTTTTTCATGTAAAATTCATTGTTTTTAATTATGTTTTTGTCAAAAATTAACATGCAATTTTATCAAATAATGAAACCAATAAGACTTTAATTGTTAAAAAAAAGCTTATTTAATTATAAAACCAACAAAAAAAATATTAAAAAATATAAAACTACTAACGTTTGATATATTTCTGTGCCATCATAAGAAATTTCTTGTATTTGATTTTCAATTGGGGCCTCAACTGAAATATTTACAGAAGACGCCATTTTACATTTCAATTAGAGTTACATAAAACGAAAGCAAAAATTTGCTGCAATGACCAAAAAAAATATTTAACCGCGAAATAATTTAAACGGTTTTTTTTTTTTTTTCTAAATAAAGAGTAATTTTTTCTTTATTATTATTTTTAATAATTAATTCTCATCGTATTACAAATAATAAGTTTATTAACAGTTTAATAATTAAATCTATTATTATTTTTTTAAAAAATTATTTTATTTTACTCTCATGTTTTTTACTAATATTAGAAATTATTGATTGTTTTGAGTTTGCGTAGTAAAAAGATATTGTTATTTTTTCAAGTAAAGAATAAAAATCTGTTTTAAAAAATTCCAATTACTTCCTTTAAAGCTCGTTATATTTACCATAAAATTTTTGTACGGAAATAAATAAAATTTGTCCAACTAGTGCCTCAATAAAAAAAAAATATGGTGGCAGAGCATCCTTCGAAAAATGTAAATGTAAAAAAAAATCAAAATAGTGATATTGTTCCTAATATGATGGAACAAACAGAATTTTTAAACATTTTCGATATTGTACGAAACGGGTAAAAAAAAAATTTTCTTTAATTTTGTGTTAAATATGATGTGTTTTTAAGTTATTGAAGTTGTTTGTTTTTTTTTTTTTTTTAGTAAAGTTTCCGCAATAGAGTCTTTCATTGAACAACACGGGTCTGAATGCTTAAAATCTCGAGATGAATGGGGATACACACCAGCTCATTGGGCTGCTCTTGATGGAAATATTGAAATCATGAGATATTTGGTTGAATGTAATGCACCAGTAGATTTATCATGTTTGGGTACACAAGGCCCAAGACCAATACATTGGGCTTGTAGAAAAGGCCACACTGCTATTGTTCAATTGTTAATCACTGTATGTTTTCTAATAACAAATTACAAAAGAATAATTTTATTTTAAATAATTACCTTGTCAGCATTTTGGGAATTTTTTTAAAAGTCTGACATACTCTTTATTTCTGTGAAAATTTTTACTAATGAGATTAAATCGATCGAAAATAAAATTTTAGGCTGGTGTCGCGGTAAATGCAACTGATTTTAAAGGTTTGACACCATTAATGACGGCCAGCATGTTCGGAAGAGGTACAACAGCTGCATTTTTATTAGGCATGGGAGCTTTCAATCATTTAACGGATGTTAACGGAGATACGGCATTACATTGGGCAGCCTACAAAGGTTATTTTATTTTTAATGCATAAATTACAATTCCCACCATTCAAGTTATACTAAATTATTAATAGTATGAAATAAATAAATCATCTTTACAATCTGTTGGGTCCCTGCATATTAAATAATAACCATTATCTCTCATCGCATTAAAAAAATTAAATTATCTAAATCGCATAAAAATCATCTTTAGAGATTTTACTATGAATTTAACGGTCGATGACATGAAAAAACAATCAAATATAATTTTTCTTAATGATATATCTGTTTTAATTTTTTTTGCGAATGAAAGGAAAAAATATAATTGATTTAATTTTTAGGACATCCGGATTTAGTTCGACTTTTAATGTATTCCGGTATAGATTTACAAAAACCGGATAATTTCGGTTCGACTCCTCTTCATTTAGCGTGTTTATCGGGAAATTCTTTGTGCGTAAAAATTTTAAGTGAAAAAAGTAAAATAGAACTCGAACCAAAGGATAAAAATGGTAAAACTCCTTTAGGCCTAGCCAAAAGTCACAGACACAGCGACATTGTACAAATTTTAACAACTGAAATTAAGAGAAGAGAAAATTGGGTTCCTCCTCTTTCAGAAATTTGGTGAGCTTTTATTTTAATTGTGAATCTTATTCATAAATCAATCAATTTAAGAGAACGCTAAAAAAAATTTCCATTATTGTTATTATTATTTTTTTTTTTTCGTAATTAATGTTATAAAATTAACGGATTTTCTCACACGTTATTAACAGGAATTTACTCTTTGGAGGAGCCGGAGAATCTAAGGGGCCTTTATTATTGTTTGTAGGATCCATTTTGCTGTGGGAATATCCGATGTATCTCTTAAGAGTGAGTTTTTAAAAAAAAATTTACGTATGCTCAAACTCAATAATTACACTATTATTTAAATCATTATTAATTTTTACGTTCTTTTTTTTATTATTTGAGTGTGTGCCGATAAGTTGGAATCAAGCACGGGGATCTCATTATTGTTTCATTTACTGGAACATAATTATGTGGATAACATGGATAATAGCAAATAGAAGAGATCCCGGGTACATACCATTGAACATGGAAAGTTACTTTACAACAATAAAACAAATACCTTATTTTGATAAATGGAAAGCGAGGGAAAATATGTTATCCAGGCTTTGTCACACTTGTAAATGCCTTCGACCGTTGAGAGCAAAACATTGTAGAATTTGCAATAGATGCGTTCGTTATTTTGACCATCATTGTCCGTTCATTTACAATTGCATCGGAGTTAAAAACAGGTTAAAATTAAAAATAATTGTTTTATTAATCCTAATAAACTCGAAACACAAGCAAACATTTATTTACATATTAAGTATTTTATTAATTTTTAGAATGTGGTTTCTTTTGTTTGTGACAAGTGTGGCTTTAAATTGTACCTTCACTATTTATTTCGCGTGTTATTGCATAGCCGTTGATGGTTTTGATATGCTTTACGTTTTGGGACTCCTAGAATCTTTGGTATTTTGTACTTTTGGATGGATCCTCACTTGTACTTCGGTAAGTATAAAATAACTTCTTTTTGTTTTTTTTTTCCATTTCGGTATTAATTTAAAATATGTTATTGTTTTTCAGTTATTACACGCTTGTATGAACCTTACGACAAACGAAATGTTCAATTACAAAAGATATTCTTATTTAAAAGATAAAAAAGGAAAATATTTTAATCCTTTTTCTCGAGGGCCATTTGTCAATTTATTTGAATTTTTTTTTTGTGCACCGGATCCGGGTTACAGCGCATTTGAAGAAGATGCTTCTATTTAAAATAATTTCAAATAGTAAGTAAGTATCCTTCATCCTCAGGTTTTTCGTATCAAATTTCATTTCTCCTGTCTTATAATGGAAAATAATAATTTTTTTTTTTATTTTAATTTTAGTTATTAACAATAATTATCATTAGCAGCCGGCAAGAAAAAATCAATTCAATATGGAAAACTTATTTTTTAAAATGTCCATCATTACTTTTCTCATCGTTTGTTATTGCACGTAAACATACACAAATAAAATTTTATTAACAAAAAATTAAAAAAAAAAAAAAAAAACAAATGTAAATCACGTGAATTGTTTTTCTTTAAATATTTTTTGTGATTTAATTATAAAAGTTTTATATAAAATATATATATTGTTCGTTAATTTAATTTGTTTTTTTTATTTTTATTTTAAATAAAACCAAAAAAAAAAAAAATTTCCTTCAAACCTACGAAAAAAAATTAATAATATATATGCATTTATTTTTTTTTTTTTTTAGTTATTAAAATTACAAAATGTTTAGACGAATAATTTGAAACGGTAAAGAAACAACAAAATACACAAAACATTTTAGAAATGTATTATTATTAAAATTACGATAAGAAAACTTATTTAAAATTCTGGCTTTTTTATATGAGCTATTAATAATTTGTAAGTCACTGAATACTGATTATTGTTTGGTGTGACCAATTTTAAAATTTTTGCTTTGTTTAAACATTCGTTTAAAAAATCTTCTCGAAGTGAGGCTGGCATCCTTGATAAAAAAGGATTCACTGCCGATATTGCATCTGGTAATTAAATAAATTTTCCTTTTTTATTTAATTAATCACGGTTAAAAAATAAAAAATGTTTGTCATAAGATTTCAACGTTTAATAAAATATTTAAATAATATCTTACCTTTAATCGATGAGTAACTGTCAAAAACATAATTTTTTTCTTTACAATCCAGTGTTACTGTTAGAAAACCAGACGAACTTAATATTTCCTTAAAATTTTCAACAGGATACATTGAATCTTGATAAAAAGGTATGAATTCTTCGACGTCCTGAAATTTTTAAAAATAATTAAAAAAAAAAAAAAAGACAAAATTATTTGGTTAAACAAATAGATATGTGTATTACCTGCATGTAATTTTCCCAAATTTTTGTTTTTGATAAAGCTCTGTATAATGTGAAAATGGGAGATTGGACGAGAAAAGCGAGTAAAACTTCTCCCCCGGGTTTAAGAAGGTTATACATATTTTTAAAAGCTGACCTTTGAATCATATAATTTTATTTTAATTATTGAAATTTTAAATAAAAAAAAAAAAGGATATAACGTTACCTTTGATCGGATACCCAATGTAAACAATAAAAAGAAAAAATTATATCAAATTGTTGTAAATTTTCATTGGATCCAATTACGTTGTTGTTTCCATTTCCTCTTGTTGCACTTGAATTATTTTCTTCCGAATATTTATTTAGTTTTAATTTTTTCAATTTTGAAAATTGTATTTTTTCTGTTATTTCATCGAGTACGTTGTCCGTATTTTGAGCAATGTCATATTGTATAAAAGTTATTTTTTTATCAGAATATATATTTTCGGCAAATTGTATCATGTTCAGGGATAAATCCAATCCGATTAATTCTTTGAAATCTAAAAAAAAAAAAATATATGTATATACTAATAAAGACATCACGTGACGTCAAAAATCATTTATTAATAAATAATAATAATAATTTTTTTATAATTACCTTTTGATAGTAGTGGTAAAATTATTTGAGCAGAAACTTCTCCAGATCCGCATCCGACATCCAGTATCCTCCTACAATCATTTAATTTTAATTTATTTTTAAATTCCGTAAGAATTTCTTTTGCATCTTTCTTTTGCATTCCATTTGCCGATGAATACATTTTTGGATTTTCCATTTTAAAAAAAAAAAAAAAAAAAAAAATTTTAATAAAAATTATTTCAAACGGTTTTTTAAGGGCCGATTTTTAAAAAAAATTTAAAAATTTTTTACATCCGACCGAACTCTTTATACGTTGAAAACTTTCTATTTTTTTATTAATTATTTACATGTTTACCTTTAAATAAATATGTTTTAATCCAAAACGAATTATATCACAGTGAGATAAAAAAAAAAAAAAGTTTTTTTCATTATTTATTTAAAATTTAATAATAAATAATTTTCTTAATATTTGCGCGTACAACAATCAAACAAAATTAAAAAAATGTTTTAGAACATTTATTAACGGCAAATATCGGCTTTTAATATTATTATAAAATGATTTTAATAAATTTATTTTAAATCTTTTTTCCGTGACAAATAAATTATTTGCATTTGATTTTAATAAAATTATTATTATTATTTAAATCGTGTCGTTGTTATAAACTTTAACTCTTGCATTATTAGTTTTGATATATTTATATTAATATAATTATATTATTGACTTATTAGACCTTTGAGTTCACTACCCATTCCTGAATTTTAATAAACTATTGTATTGTAAATAAAAAATAAAAAAATTTCCATTTGTAAAAATAAATTTTAATTTAAATTTGAATTAAATTGTCAACTCAATAATGCTCTTTATTATCGATTGGAAAGTAAAAAAAATAAAAAGTTTATTACGAGAGCAACGTAAACCCCCCTCCCCCCCAAAAAAAAAAAAATTATATAACTAGGTAATAATTAAAAAAAAAAAAGAAAGAAGAAGTCATGGAGTGAGGAACCACAGAGGAGGCATTCTTTTTTAGGTTGACCTCGGTCAGGATTTTTTTTTTTATTAAAAAAAAACCTAATTACCACTTTAACTGGATTTTTTTTTTTAATACGGTAAAAATTAAAAATCGACTATGTTATAAAATAATAATAATAGTAATAATAATAATAATAATAAATCACCATAAACATTAGTCAATAAAGTTTCTTTTACTTTTGTATAAAAAAAAAAAAAAGTCTGAAGATTTTATTTTAATATTATTATTTCTTGATGTGGAGTTTTTTCATTTGAGAGTAGTATTATTATTATTATTATTATAAAAAATAAATTACATATTATTACTTTCAAGTTCTGGAAATGAAATAAAAAAGATAAAAGAAAAAATAATAACTGAAAGTGAGGAGTGTGACTGTTTTACATATTGAAAAATTTTAAATTAATTAACGACGGAAATTTTCTTTTTTTTTTTTTTTTTTCGTTTCCATTTTGATTAGAGAAAGTAAAAGCTCACATAAAAAATTTTCACGTAAACCTATGAATTTAATTTTTTACTTACTCTAATTTACAAAAAAAAAAAGAAAAGGAAAAAGGAAAAAAGAAAAAGGAAAAAAAAGGAAAAAATATAAAAACTAATTACAATATTTCAATATTTTACGTGATATAAATAAATAAATATTATTTTATGCCAAAACTTTTTAATTTTATAAATAAATAAACTCGTAAATGCATTCGTACAAAAAAAAAAAAAAAATTAAATAAATGTTTGAATAATAATAATAATTATAATATGTTTAAAAGTGAAAATGGAAAATTTCGAAATGGACGTTCGAAGGGCGTTAACTGCGCACAAACAAACGTAATAAAATTGTCTCATGATCACTGAATCGGAATTTCTGCATTTCGAATACATTTCTACTGTTTTCGGGGAAGGAATGAGGGAGAAAGGAAGATTTTGGGGGGCCGGGAAACAAGCCAATGGCTGGAATTTTCAAAATACTAAACCAATCCGAGAAATGTCGTTTTTCTGGAGTTTTCATTGGTTTTCCCCCGCTTTTTTCACCGCAATTCTAAATAATATTATTTGAATTTCTTTTTTTTTATTCTCTCTCTCTCTCGCTTTTTTTTTTTCTTTCAAATTCGACATTTATTTTAAATAACTTATTATTTATAAAATAATAATACTAATAGTCAAAGTCGATTTACAATAATAATATTGATTAACAGTAAATATATATAAGTATGAGTAAAGAAATAAGAGAGAGAGAAAAAAGAAAAAAAAAAGAAAAATTAATAATTGTTTCAATTGCGCAATGTGAGAAAATGTCATATTAAAAAAGTGTTACAAAGTCTGGAATTTCGCTCAGATCGATCGAGGCTTCTGGAATCCTGTGTAAGAAAATGGAAAATATATGTATCCTGTAATTTTTTAAGGAGTTTTATTTTTTTAGTCATTTCTTTTGTTCTTTTTTTTTTTTTTTCTTTCCTCTTTCTTTTCATCTCACGCCTTTTTCGTTCATTGTTATTTCGCTTCTATTTCTCATTCTAAAATTTATTTTAAAAAATAATAAATAAAAGAATTGGAAATGTTAATAAAAATATTTGAATGGAAATGATTAAATCAAAAGTAAGAAAAAAAAAAAAAACTTGAAAACGCATCATATACGCGCGTGTAAAAATAAAGTAAAAAAGGGAAAAAAAATATTCCATTCAAAATTTTTTTCTTTTTTTTTTTGTTCTTTATTTTTTTTCCTGCAGGGCATAATAATATTTTTTATTTGAAAAACATCGATCTTTACTTTCAAACTCATTTATATAACTTTTCTTCCCGCATTTTATATCCATTTCTATTTTATATATATATGCATATGATACTTTTATTTAAATTTTTCTATATAAATAACAGCATTTTAATATTTAAACAAAATTACATATATGTATTTTAAATGTTATGTAAAACAGAAATTATTAACCGTAAAATAATATTTTTACCCTCAACATATTGAGTTTATTTAAAAAAAAAACAAACGGTTATTAATTTTAATATATTTAAATAAAAAATTAATTTTTTCTAATAAATTTTCAATTAAAATATTTTTCATCGATTCGTAAAAAGACGATAAAAAGTTGAAAATTTATTTTATTAATTTTTTTTTTTTGGGGGGAGGGGAGGGGGGCTTCCCGTAAAAAAATTTCAATTTAAATAATAATTTATTAATTTCGAATAAGTAAAATTAATAAAATGAACGTAAAATTTAATTTTTTAAAAAAAACACAACAAAAGGTAACCTTATTGAAAAAAATTATTATTATTATTATTAAAAAAATTACTATTATTATTATTATTTTTGGTTTTTATTTAAAAATCGATGAATTGAAAGTAAAAAAAAAAAAAAAAAACTTGATTAGTTCTTAAAAATGTCGCATGAGATCGCTTAAATGTATATATCTATCTATCTAAAGTCGTTTATTCAATAGAAAAAAAAAATTTTCTTTTTTTTCTGACGTTAAAGGTTATAAAAATTTTTTAAACTTGTTAATAATTAATAAAATGGCGAAAAGAAAAACGGTTGATTTTCAAAAATATTTTTACAATTATATATATATGAAAATACTTTCGTGTAAGGCTACAAAATATTAATTTATTATTATTACAACATTCAAAAAAAAATTAATTTTTTTTTTTACTTTACTATTACGTATGGGGGACATAGTTTTTAAAAATGAAACCAAAATTTTTTATTATTTTGTCAATTAATTATCACTTTTATATAAGGAAAAACACTTTCGATGGATGGACATTGTTTGGAAAATTTTGGGGAAAATTTTCCAATGCGCTTGCTCGACTTTTTTTTTTTAAACCTGGAAAATTTTTATTTATTTTTACTCTTTACTTTCTTTCTCTGCACCATCATCGACATAAATTTTTAGTTCAAAGATTCATTTTTATAGTATAAAAAAAAATTAAATAAAATTTTTCATGGCGCGCTCATAATTTTAACTTGAAAATTTATTTATTTAAATTTATATAAAGTTTACAAATTAAAAAGAAAAGAAAAAATTTTTTTATTAATTATTTTATTTATTTATTGTTTTTCCTTTTTTAAATAAATTAAGTTAAATTTCCACTTTCTTATTGTTTAAAAAAAAAAAAATTAAACCATGTTGAAAATTTAAAGTTCAATGGAAAAAGGAAAAACGAATATGATAATAATACCAGTAAATGGTAAATGAAGAAGTGCAGAGGAAAACAAACAACAAACAAACTGATTGTGTGTGTATCCCGTGGTAAACAAACATAAAGAAAAACATTTTCTAGAATATTCGACAACCCCAAAGCGGTACTACTTGAAGTAAAAGACTCCTCATATTCTAACCAAAAAAAAAATAATGAAAACATTTTCACTTGGTTCAGGTTTTAAAAAGAAGCAAACCTTGGGCAACAGGAGTAGCAGGAACACCAGAAAAAGACATTTTTCATAAATAAATAAATTTATTTCTATTGTTTTTTTTTTTTTTTTTTTATTTTTGAAATGAAATAAAATGAAAGTATAAGAAAAGGTTAGTAAAAAAAAAACTCTTGAACTAAACTAATGAAATATTCTCCACTTATAAAAACGTGTAAAAGTGCGGGAAAAGAATGGAAAAAAATGTCATTCATCGACTTTTCTAAAAAAAAAAAAAAAAAATCTTTTATCTCGACAATTCTCAAGTGTCTGTCTTTATTTCTTTCTCTGTTAATCTGATACTTTTGGGCTTTTTTTTTTGTCAATGTAATATAGATAAAAGCTTTCTTTATTTTCTTATTTTTTCTTTTCACGAGAATGCCTTCTTATCACAATATCTGAATTTTCTTTTTTTTAATTTTTCAAAATTGTAAAAAAAAAAAAAGGAACAACCCTTCAGACGTGTAATTCCTATCGAAAACGTATATTTTTAACTATTTGTATTATTATTTTTAAACTACGATTGTTTTAAACAAAAATATCCTTTTTTTACAATCATCATTATCATTATTATTATTATTATATTTTTTTCCTTTTGACGATAGGTCGGTCGGTCGATCGGTCTATCGGTTCATTGACGATAAACACACACACGCGAGGGTGCATCAATTTATTTCTAATTGTTCATAATCGAAATATAAAAAATTTAAATTAAAAATAATGTGCACGTGTCTTACACGTAACGAATCTAACCGAAAA